TATTTTAACTTCTCAAGAAAAATCAGATTGACAGGAAGGGAGGTATTTTCAGAATGAAGATGTACCTGACTCTTGTCTCTTTCTTCTTCACCATATTGTGAGTTGTTATAATGTAGATGGGGAACATATGTATCTCCAGCTCTCCAAAGTGTTTTAGATGGCATTTATGAAAGAGTTAGTAAATATCATCAAATCAAATCACAATCATTCACCCCCTCTGAAAGGTGAAAGCTTCTACACAGTGAAATACACGTTAACTCTTTACACGGGCCTTTCTGTTCCCAGATTTGAAAGTCTAAATGACAGGTAACTTGCAGTTCCTTAATGAAGTCCTTTAGGGAATGTTGCTTCCAAGTGTCTGGGGTAAGATGAGGTACCTGGGACCATCTTAAATGTGAGGATGCTTCTGTTCCATGTTACTTAAGATGGGTTTCTGCTCAAATAAAGGTCTTTGCTTCTCAGCAATTTGAAAGGTTAACTTCATCTTAGCTTTCATTGCGGCTTCTGAATTTCAGTGGGGTACAGATGGTTTCTCTAAGCCCTTATACTCTTTCTTATTTTGTCAATGAGAAGAGGGCATGAACTGTAAATATGGGCTGACTTGCACTCATTTTGTGTTTAAGCTTCTGCTGACTCCACTTCTCTTCCTATATACCTTAGCCACAATCAGTCCTGATGGTTTCGTTGTGGGCACTTGTTTAGTCTCCCATGTTGCCATCATTGTAACTGAAACTGTAGTTTTTTTCCTAAGAATGTTTCCAACTTAGTTTGTCCAAAATCTCTCAATCAAGATTCATATTTGAAGAGATATTAATGAAATATTTTCCATATAGGAATGTGAAAGCCATTATAAAAATAATACTCTGTACATTTGCTTTGTGCATGGCACTGTCATGAGCATTTTGTTTGGCTGGTACTTTATTTTTATTTTTTGATTGTTGTTTATAGGCAGGGTTTGGCTATGTTGTCCAAGCTAGTCTCAAATTCCTGGGTTCAAGCGATACTCCTGCCTCAGCCTCCTGAGTGCTGGCACATACCACCATGCTTGGCTTTACTTAATCTTCTGTTAAGAACTCTGTAGAGTATGAGCTCTTCTCAGGTCCAATTTGCAGATGAGAAAATTGAGAAGATACATGCTATACAGATAAGTCCTGGAGCCAGTTGACTTCTGTGCCCACTGTTTCTCACTGCCTCCCAGTACTGCTTGTGAGGTGACAGGGTGACATGGCTTAGTACTGTGTGTTTTGTGTTTTCAGACTCTCTGATGGCTAGAGGGAAGTTAGTTGCTTATGAAAGAATAACCAGAGTGATCTCCTGGAACAGTCAGTTTGGCTAGTAATATCAAAGCGCCCATTGGGAACAATTACTAGCCTCAGTCCATTTCATCCCTTCCAGATTCAAGGAAAATATTTTCCCGAGCCTCTTACGAGCTAGTCTCTTCTAGATACAGTGAGGAATCAAGCATGACCATGCAGTTCTAATAGAAATCTGTGTCCACATTATCTCATATGTCTCCATGCCTCTATTATATCTCATATCATCTCTATCTGTAGAAATTAGGAGGTTTGGGTGATTTGATAGGCTAGGCCTGCATGAAACGCCAGGTTTTCTGTCAATACCTTTGTTCTTCCCACTGAGTCGTGAAGCTTTCATGTGTCTTTTGTCAAGTTTGAGCCTTATAGGAAAGTAAAAACATTCACCTAATGAAACACATACAGGGTAAAGAGAAATACAGGGAGAGAATCCCAAGTTGGGACTTGAAGACTCAGGAACAGAGAGCCATAGGTTGGGAGTGTGCTGTGGTGGGGGACCTCTCAGGTGGCCCCCCCCAAAGATCCCACCTCCTTGTGCTCTTGTGCAATCCCAAGCCCTTTTATGGGGCGGGACTTCAAGACTCACAGTGAATAGAATATAACAGGAGTGGTGGTTTTCCACTTCCAAAATTAGATTATCAAAAGAAGGACGCTCTGTTTTGTGTGCCCTTTGTCTCTCACTCAATATCAGCTATGGAGGGACCCATTCTGGCAAGAAACTGGGATAAACTTCCAGCCAATAGGAATGAGATGCTGAGGCCCTCAGCATGGGGAAGTGAACCCTACCAATACCCCGGGAATGGGCTTATGAGTGGGTCCCCCTCCGGAGCCTTCAGGTGAGACATAGCCCCAGACAACGGAGTGATTGCTGTTTCATTGGAGACATTGAGCCAGAGGCACCCAACTAATCTGCATCTGGATTTCTAACTCACAGAAACTGAGATAATAAATACATGCTGCTTAAACCCCTAAGCTTTAGTATAACTTGCTATGCAAAGTGGGTAGCTAATATACTGAAAATAAAAACAATGAGATTTTCTATTTTGGGGGGGGGGCTCTACTTACATTATGGCAGATCACACAGGAAAGATTAAGTCTCAGAAGTCCACACTGTCGGGGATAAGTGTCCAAGGATGGGACAGGGAAGAGACCATTGATCACAGCATGGAAATGGCTCCAAAGCTGGAGAATGGCACTAATGTGATTCATGGTTTAAAATGAGGCACTCAGCAAGAATAATCATATCATGTTGAATTACGATAATAAAGTAGCCTACTTTATCTGGCTTCTAAGATATGTAAAAAGATTTGCAAAGTTGGTTACTAATGTTTTATGTTTTGTTTTAAATCCATTTATTTTAAGGTAAATTCTTAAAATATATCCTTTTCTGTGCAATTCTTTGAAAGCAGAGAAACAGGATTCATTTTATCGTGCAGTCATTCACACCAATACATTGCTTTGCTTTCTGCTCTTTGGTGATTTAATACTGTTGTAAGTTAGAATAAGACACATGTCCCATATCTCTGGTGTTGAAGAAGATGGAGAGGGAGGAGCACATGATGCTAGCAAGGACCAAGTGGCAGGCACTGGACACCTAAGTGCATCTGCTGTCTATGGTGTCATATGTCCAGTGTGAGACTTACTTCCTATAGTAAATCATTGGTTGTTTAATTGCTTTTCTGTAATTCTTTTTGTGTCATGGAATATTGTAAAAATCAAAAGCATTTTTGTTTCTGTTTAGATTTTGCGTTTTCAATTTTTATATTTTAGATTAAAGTTGACTATTTGAGTTCCAAAATGGATGATTTTACTCTTCATTTTGTAACAGCATGGTTGTGTTACTCAGCTTTTTATCACCATGAAAAAATACTTGAGAAAGTCAACTTAAAAGTGCAAGAAACAATTATTTGGCTTATGGTTTCACAGGTTTCAGTCCATGGTCTCCTGGCCTCATGTTTTCTGGGCCTTGGAAAAAGCAGAACATCATGGAGAAGGGCGTGGTAGAGAAAAGCTCCTCACCTCTTGGCAGCCAGAAAACCAAAATGAGGAATGTAGTCAAAGGACAGTTGTGTCTTTTGTGAACTTTGCTTGAACATGAATGATTTCATTGTGTTTCTTTGTGTTGCTTCTAGGATGAAATCTTACACTAAGTTGGCTAAAGCATTTCCTTCATATTTTTTTTGTTAATCTGTCACTTTATCACCTAAGGAATGTAGAGAATTACTGGATTATTACTGAGCTGATGAATTCTAAACTTTTATATTTACTGTTTTTTAAAGAGATTCTTTATAAATCTAAATGTAGTAATTCTATCCATACATGAATTTACTATCTTGTTTTTTGTGCATTTTTGTTACATATTCCCTCAGCAAAAATTATTAGTCTCTTTTAATTTTTGAAATATGGCCAAATATAGTTGGATTCAAATTTAGTTGGATTATGCTTTTACTCTTTTGGAACATTCTTTGTGTTGTCTTTGCCTTACATGGTTTGTAGAATAAGAAAACTTGCCTGAGAATCTTAATCAAATTCTTAGATTTGTATTTGAGATCTCTTTTTTGAAATTGAGGTAGTGGATTATTATTAGAGTGGAAGTATCATGTTTTACTTGAGTACTATTGGTTGGTGCATTTGGGCTCTGTTCCCAGAAATGCTAAATTTCCTTGCTTATATTTCTCATCCATCTTTTGCTTCCATTTCTCACTTTTTTCCTTAATTCGTTGTTGGGATTTTGCCAGAGTCAACCAGAAAAAGTCTCATGTACTTTAAGCTTTCAGAGAAGAGAACTGGTAAAATGCCTCAGTAATCAAAATAAATATATCTAGTTTGTGATTATCCACATTGTGATTTTTCTCCTAGAAATCTCTAATCCACAAGAGCGTCCTTCCCTGGCTACTTGGCACAGATCCATCTGAGTGAATTTGCCTTGTTTCTGGCCAACATGCATGTGTGAAATGCAGAATGATTTTAATTAACCTATCCCTAAGCTTGTAATAAAATGTACCTACTCCAAAATACAGCATAACATTTCCTGGCTAACAAATGTATGTAAAGAGCATATTCCTGGTATCTGATGATCTATTCCACTTCTTCTTTATATAAGGAAGTTTGGATAGTTTGTATTTTAAGATCTATTTTTAGGTTGAATCTATGCTAATCTTGATATCACTATCAAAGAATTATCCTTTGATTATTACTCTTCAAGGAATTATAATAGGAAATGTACCTCTCATTTCTATCCTGAGTCTGTCAGTTTAGTGATTAGATTTAATCTTTGGCAGTGTTTTTAGATAAATTGGCAAGTGTGAATATTTACCAGTACCTGTATAGAACTAGCATGCAGCAGTTTCAGAATGATTTGCCTATTTTTCTGGTAGTAAACAGGGATTTTTCAAATTCATTCAGTGGAGTGGTGAAAGACAGATTTACAGCTTCTCTCTGACCTTTGACTGGGCCTATTTCATGGGATTTAGCACTTGTGGAGCAAGTGAAGGCTTTAGCATTTGACACCAGGCCCATTGAAATTCCTGGCACATGGTCTTTGGAGTGGGGCAGTGGAAGCATTGAAGTTAGAATCCCGATACCCTCCCACTGCTGGGTCATGAACATTACTAAGATAGCCCAACATCTTTTCACAGGTGGCTTATAGCAATTTATATTCTTTGTTTTGTCTTTTTTTCCCCGCAGCTGTTGTGAACTTGGACAATTCTGTGGTTGACCTGGAGACTCTTCAAGCTCTCTATGAGAATGTGAGTAATAGAAGGAATTTTATGTGTGAGTATAAAATACATGCACAGTACCTGTCTATGTACACATAGAGGCTGGTGGTTTTAATACCCTTCAAGGAAATGCGATATGAGTACATTGAATTTACATAAGTAGGGGTTTGTTGCCACACTTTTTAGGAAAATATTAGACAAATGTGTGTGCTCATGTTTTTAGAGACTATAATTCCAAATATGTTGTTTGTGAGGTCACTCCTGTTCCTTCTTTTGAAATAATAGTGCCCATGTGGGAGTTAATTTGGGCCAAGCATAGTTCTGTGCACCTTACACACATAAATGCACACACACACATTCATAAATTTTAAAATATTTAGTTCATAAAGAAAGATTGAATGTATTCAAGATGTATAGCCTGCTGATTTGATCTATATATATTATGTGATCCTTGCCATAATCAAATGAATATATCCATAAGTACTTATTATGTACATTAGAGTTCCAGAACTTATTCACCTTATAACTAAGTTTGAAAGTTTGTGCTTTTGGCTAATATCTCCCTACTTCCCTGACTTCTCACCCTTTGACAGCCACCATCATACTGCTGCTTCTGAGTTTATTATTTTAAGATTTCTTATCTTTTTGTGCCTGTCTTATTTCACGTAGCATAATGTCCTCCAAGTTCATGCATGTTGTTGCAATTGGCAAGATTCCCTTCTTTCTTATGGCTGGATAATATTTCCTGGTGTGTATATGTACTACAGTTTCTTTATCATTCATTTATCAGTGGGTACTTAGATTTTTTCCATATCTTAGCTGTTGTGAATAATGTTTCAGTGAATATTGTGTTGCAAGTATGTCTTCAACATAATGATTTCACTTCCTTTGCACCTCTACGAAGCAGTATTGGTGGACACATGAAAGTTCTATTTTTAATTTTTTTGAGTAACTTCCACACTGTTTTCCCAAATGGCTGTATCAGTTTATATTCCTACCAACAATAAACATGGGTTGTCATTTCTCCACATATTCACCAACACTTATCTCTTGTCTTGTTCATACTGGCCATCCTAAGAAGCGTGAAGCGTTATCTTGCAGTGGGTTTGATTTGTATTTATCTGAGGAACTATTATATCTAGGAAAGAGTCTCAGTGTGGTCCTATTTTGTCTCTAACACAAACCTTGGAGTTCTTTTTTTAAAGTTTACTTCTACTCTTACTTATGATCTGCCTGGTATATAAGCTTGTATGCTCTTTGGGGCATAGCTTTAGTTACTTCTTGGCTTTTCTGTTTCAAGTCAAAGAATTCCTGGCTCTGGGAGGTGCATGTGGTGGCAGGATGAAGGGTTTTTTTCTTTGACTATTCCTTTGACAATTGTGTGTGTGACCTGTTTGTCCACTCTTGAATTAAATCCTTTGAAAACATGCATTTGTGGTCTCCCCTGTGAGCTTGAAATCTTTGTAAGAGAAGTTATTTCTCATAGTGCATCATATAGAATCTATCAATTGAGCTTAGAGTTGTTACCCAGGTAGCACAGTGAGCATAAGCATTTGATGAGACCAAGTCATGAACAAGGACTGAAAAGGAAGGTTCAAGTGATTTATCATATTGTTCTCATTATACGCTAGAAAAACCTGGAAAAACCAATTATGTATTTAGTATATTAGTGTCTGAGTGCAATGAATATTAAAAACATAACCATTTGAATGCAGAGAGTTTCTGTTTCTCTTGGCTCTTTTATACTAACCCTCTCACAACCAGGAGGGCTATATTAGTCAGCCTACTCTTTGTTGCTACCAAATGCCAGACAGCTGCAACTTAAAGGAAGAGAGTTTTAATTTGTCTCACAACTTCACTGGGTTCAGTCCATCGTTGGTGGACATCATGGTGAAGCAAAGCTTACTTGCTAGTAATCAGAAGCAAGGAGGAGGAACTGTACCAGAGAGGAGGGAGCCAAAACCAGATATAGTACCCAAGGTCACAACTGTTTGAGCCACCCAGACACACCCAGAAGTGCACTTTACTGATGCCCTGGGTAGCAATCAAGCTAACCATCCAGCTTAACTGGCCCAAGGACCATGTGGAAGAGGTGAGGAAATACCAGGGGAAAGGAATTTATTCAGCAAATCATAATGAGCTAAGATGTTAGGATATGTGTATTTATTTATCTTTCCTAAATACTACATGTGCATATACATGTGCTTGTGATTGCATAATCTGTGCTCACACATATATGTGTAAATAACTGTCTTATTTAAACCTAGTGTATTAATGTGTGAAAATAGATACAGAAAAAATATAGAGAATTTCATGTGATTATATTCAATAGTGATTTTAGATATTTTGATAGCTTTTAGTCTTTCAAAGTAAGTTAATTTCATAAAAAATTCTGACCATGGGATAACTACGCAGCTACTCAGAATTTGTACCTTTTTAAAAATTGTTCTTTGCAATATTTAAAAACTTTAAATATTGTAAATTTTATGCTTTTATATGGTACAAAATAATATTATGATTAATGAATCAATTACAATGATTGATGATTAGAGAATGCAACAGAGTAGTTGAATTAAGCTTATATATTAACCATCTCAATTATCTGTTGTTTGTGGGAGGAACATTGGAATCTAGTCTTCTGACAGTTTTGAAATGTGCAGTATATTTACCACACTGTGTAATGTATCTTTAACAAGACTTATTTCTGTTTAAATGAGGCTTTATACCCTATAATGATCATTTCTCCATCATCCCCAGCCTCTTTCTCTCTTTCTCTTTCTTTCTCTCTCTTTCTCTTTCTTTCTTTCTTTCTTTCTTTCTTTCTTTCTTTCTTTCTTTCTTTCTTTCTTTCTTTCTTTCTTTTCTTTCTTTTCTTTCTTTCTTTCTTTCTTTTCTTTCTTCCTTTCTTCCTTTCTTCCTCCTTTTCTTTTCTTTTCTTTTCTTTTCTTTCTCTTTCTCTTTCTCTTTCTCTTTCTCTTTCTCTTTCTCTTTCTCTTTCTTTTTTCCACAGTACAGGGATCAAACTCAGGACCTTGCTCTTGCCAGGCAGGTGCGGCACCACTGAGCTGCATCCTCAACCCACCACCAGCCTGTATCAGATAATCACCATTCTACTTTATGCTTTTTTGAACTCAAATGTGAAAACTGGACATATTTGTCTTTCCGTGCCTGGCTTATTTCACCTAGTATAATACTTTCCAGTTCCATCAGTGTGGTTGCAAATGATAAATTTTCTTTGTCTTTTAAGACTTGATAGTGTTCATTGTGTATATGTACCACATTATGAATACTTATGTTGATTCTGTTAACTTGGTTATTGTGAACAGTGCTGCAGAGAGTACAGGTATCTCTTCCACATACCTATTCATGTCTTTTTCTATAAATACCCAGAAGTGGGATTATTGGGTCATATAGTAATTTTATTTTTAGCTCTTTGAGGAACATCCATATAATTTTCCATAATGGCTCTACTAATTTACATTTCCTCTGATGGTATACAAAGGCTCCCTTTTCTCCATGTAATCACCAACATATATTATATTGTCTTTCCTCTCTTCATTTGTGGCCATTCTGGCAGGTGTGAGGTGATAGCACATTGTGGTTTTAATTTGCATTTCTCTAATGATTACTGATGTTGAACAGTTTTTATTATGTCTGGCTATTTGTATGTCTTCTTTTGAGAATTGTCCCTTGCCCATGTTTGAACTTAATTTTTATTTTCTTTCTATAGAGTCAATTAAATTTCTCATGTTTTGGCTATTAACTCCTTACCAGATATATCCCCTTCCATATTTCATGTATTTGAGGTCAGAATTTGTATCACTTTGTAATATATATATATATATATATATCCATTGATGCTTTTGTTAGCTATTTTGTTATTATAGTTTTATTTTTTAATCCTCATACTATGGATAAAATTGCTTCGCATACCATGGTTACAGTCTTAGAAAGTTCTGGTTATGGCTCTGTATTACCTAGACTATTGAGTTTTATGCTTATGTATGATTGCGTTATTAATTAGTGTCTTTTGTTTCAACTTACAGAATTTTTTGTGACAATTGCTCTTGGGGAACATATTTACCTTGTGTTTGTCAAGGTTTTATGTATTTTCCTTATAGGCTGCTCAGCGATTTACTGATCATCATACTGAGACACTTATGTATAGGTTTCTTGTCTACTGCTGCATAAAAATTTTTTGATTGGCTTTGATTTCTGATAGATTATTTTGTGTTTAAGGAAACTTTTTTTGAAGTTGATTGGAGATCTTTGCACTTCTTATACCTGGATGTTGGCATCTTTCCACAAATTAAGGAAGTTATTATTTTCAGTCATTATTTCTTTAAATATGCTTTCTGACCCTTATTCTTCCCCTTCTTAAACTCTTATCATGTACTGGTTAGGTGTCTTGATTGTTTTCCATAATCCTGAAGTCTTTCTTCATTCTTTTTATTTTTATTTTTCTTCTTTCATTGGATAATTGCAAATGTTTTGTCACCAATTCAATTCTTCAGCTTGAGCAAACCCACTGTTGCAGCTTCCCATTGCATTTTATAGTTCAGTTCTTGTGTTTTCTCTCTAGGATTTCCTTTTTTAAATGACTGTTTCTATTTCTTTGTCAAACATTTTTCTTGTTTGTCATCTCATTTAATTAAATCTCATTTAATTTTTTTTATCTCTGTATTTTATAGCTCACCAAAGTAGTGGTCATGGATCCAACTTCAGTTAGGGCTCATTGTTAGAACTTTGTTAGTTTCTTTCAACGATGCCATGCTTTCCTAAGTCTTTCTGTCTTTGTACTGATGTTTGTGCATTTGAGGAGGCAGACTTCTACAGATTTTGCAAGGCTATTCTTTGACAGGGCTAGATCTTCACTATTTAATCTTGCTTGTGAGTCTAGATGGTAAAGCTGGTAATGACTATGGGTAGGTAGCCTTGCTTTCAGGTTTCTAGATCTCCATATTGCTTTCTTTGCTCTGAGTTTGGGTCGGGCACCTGTCTGTGCTCTGCACTCAGGCTGAATTGCAGGA